AAAGTCAAATTCTGTCTAACTCTCTGAATTAGTAGAAATTTTGGCAGCACTCCCTTTAGAAAGGGAGACTTTCCAAATTTATACCCAGTCAGATATGAAAGCAGAATTAATCTCTAATTATGGAAAGTCAAATTCTGTCTAACTCTCTGAATTAGTAGAAATTTTGGCAGCACTCCCTTTAGAAAGGGAGACTTTCAAGGTTTATACTAAGTCAGATATGAAAGCAGAATTAATCTCTAATTCAAGGACATCGAGGGGTACAAGCCACGTATGCCAAGATAAGTGAGCTGTACTACTGGATGAGATGATGGATATGGTCGGAAAGTTCTGTCGATCTTGCGTACCTTGCCAGGAAAGATCCCGTTTAAGGCAAGGAGAGCAGCTGCATCCCAGGCTAGAGCGAGAGGTGGGGGCTGTAGTGCATCTTGATCTACTTTTTATGCCACTTGGGGATCAAGGCTATAACTATATCTTCGATGCGCGCGATAACCTATCTGGGTTCGTAGACGGGCGTGCTATTCGCACAAAGACCGGGTCAGTCCTGGTGAGCTGCATCGAGGAGTACTACATGCATTATCCTTTCGTCAGGGAATTCGTAATGGACAGGGGATCAGAGTTTACTTGCCAGGAGGTGCAAGAACTGTAATCAAGGTATGGTGTGGCAGCCAACTACACCACGGCCGCGCATCCACAGGCAAATGCTCCCGTAGAGAAAGGACATAGTACCATTACGAATCTCCTGGCCAAATGGACCGAAGGTAGGCCTAATCAATGACCAAGATACCTAAGGGCGGCTTTCTTTGTCGAGAACATTACAGTAAAGAGATCCACCAAGTACGCACCTACGATGCTGTGGTACGGAAGGCATGCCACCTTCCCTATCGAAAGCTTTCTTAAGACATGGAGGCGCCAGGATCTGGAAGTTAACCTGTCATTTGAAGAGTTGCTCAATATTCGGGCGCGGCAGGTTGGGGCGATAGAAGAAAGGATCCAGGAGGCATCTGACCAGGTGGCGAAAAACCGTATGGATGATAAGGCTCGATGGGATCAGTCTGCGCGAGTGAGGAAAGTACTCTTGGTAGTCGGGGATGTCGTGCTTCTCTACGATACATCGCTGGAGAAGCAGTGGTCCAGGAAACTCGATAAGAGATGGTTAGGTCCCTACCGAATCGCATGGGTCGGAGACTTCGGAGCGTACCAGATCGAGGAGTTAAATGAGACTGAGTGGAAGGATTGGGTATCTGGAACGCGACTGAAGAAATTTGTGGCGAGAGAAGAGGTAAGAGAGATGACCTGGCCGCCTTTAGAATAGAAGTAACAGGGTGTGTAGATTAGGAAGGATGCATGCTGAATGAGTGTGGTCTAGTCTGAGCTTGCTCTGATTATCACCTGCTTGCTTACCCCAATGTATGCCTGTTGTCTCATTCGCCTGTTGTGCAGGTCTGACTTTACGAAGAAAGCCATGCCAAGAGGAGGGAAGAGGACACGGCCGCCTCAGAGGCCGTTGGGCGCATCAGGAGGATATGAGCGGCATGGGCCTCGCCATCGAGAGAGTACTCCAGTCTACAATGATGGGGACATCGAGCTATTCCTGGACAGTTTCTGGGAGCATGCGAGGCGTATGGGTTGGACCGTTGCTCAGGCGATTGAGAGATTGAGGGGAGCAGGTAGGTTCGAAGAGCCCATTGCCAAGATTCATAGGGAGGCGACGACGAGGCAGGAGGTAGAGATGAGGATGGAGGAGTTGCGACCCTCGCCTGTGGGACCTGATGGCAGGCCGATCCGCCTGGAGATTGGAAATGCGTCGGACTTCATCCCCGCGTTTGAGTGGTTCATGCAAGAGCAGGGCATATAGAGAGATGACTGGATGCAGACACTACCACTCTGGACCAGGAAGGCGGAAAGGCCATTGGTTATGCAGATCAGGGACATGGCACGAGATTAGGAGAGCTGCAGGGCACATTTGAGAGAGGCCTTTCGACGGCCAGAGCTCCCTCAGCCCAGAGTCGAGAGGCGGCAGAGGAGTTAGAGGCCGAGGGACCCTGAGCCCAGGGAGGCGAGACCATCTCGAGGAGGACGGAAGGCCCTAGCCAGGAGAGAGCAGGAGCCAGAGGATGAGGAGCGAGGGGCATACCCTGAGTGTGGGTTGGGGCCAGTGGAGTTCCATCGTTTTACTGAGGGTGGATTGAGGAGGTCGCCAGCACACACACAAGGGGAGCCACCAGCGTCAGAGGGGCCCTTGAGGGAATTGGAGATGCATTTAGATATTTCTCGGTGGAGGGCGTCGCTTCAGGGTGAGGGGCATGGAGAGCAGGCAGAGGAGGTGTCACGAGAGGAGGTGCCACGAGAGGAGGTGCCACAGGGGGAGATACCACGAGAGGAGATGCCACGGGAGGAGGTACCACAGGAAGAGGTCCGGGGTACTCAGCGAGAGAGAGGGCTGGGCGATGAGGGGAGACGTGCAGGGAAGGAAGTGATAGAGGTTGGAGAGGACACGCTCCTACAGACGCCAGCAGTGGGTTTGAGACTCGGGGATGCACCAGGGAGCACCCGGCAGGCAAAGGAGGGGTTGCAGAGAGAGGAGATCCCTTTACCTTCGTCAGAAAAGGCTCCTTCGCCAGAAGGGAGGGCAGAAAGGAGGAGAGAGAGGGCAGCTGTAAGGAGAGAAGCTTTGATCCTGATTGATAGGCACCTAGCAGCTCATGCCCTGGAGCACCCAGACCTGGAGGAGCCAGCACCTGCAGAGTCACGCCAGGAGTCATGCCATCCCGAGAAGGAGATGGAAGCAGAGATCCCAAATAGGGTCGACCTCCGCACGAGGGAAAGGGTGCCAGCTGGAGAGACGGCTGAAGAAAAGAAGGCGAGACGAACCAAGCGGATAGATGAGATATGGCAGGAGAGGCAGAGGTTGGAGGCAGCGGGGGAGCTCCCGGAGCAGCAGCAGGAGAGGCAGAGATAGGAGGCAGCAGGAGCACTCCCGGGTCAGCCACCCAGCGCGCCAGCCAAGGCCCCGGAGATTCAGCCATGGAGTACGTCTGGAGGCTGTGGAGATGAAAATTTAGGAACTTAGGGCTTTGGTGGCCAGCCAGGCAGCTATCATTGAGATCCTGAGGCAGCAAACCCAGGGAAAGGTGGACAGACCAGAGAGCAGCCGGCAGGGAGAGCAGAGGCAGCCAAGACAGGGATTGTCAGGACAGCCATCTGCGAGAGAGCCTCGCCAGGAGCCACCTATGGGGAGGGTTATCCTGGAGTCAGAGGAGGCGAGAGCACAGAGACAGGCGGAGAGAGAGGCGTTCGAGTTCAGAGCCCCTACCGAGCTACCGAACTCAGTATGCCTTACGCACAGGAAAACCCGCGTATGCTCGGACAAATTGAGAAAGAAGGAGGGCTCGAGATGTCTTTACCCAGGCGGGTCAGAGCAGGAGAGAACTTCTCTTCATGGTGGGGCATGTTGATGAGCACGAACATCTTTGTCTGGATCGAATCTGGGTTTGACGATGAGCAGGAATGTGCAATTATAAGGGTGACCCTGTACGCCTCTGCCACCTTTTGGATCGAGCATGGGATAGAGTTGGCACTTGGGCGTGGGAGCCTGCTTGCTAAGCCTTTGAAGGTAGCCGAGGCAGCTGCAACAAAGTGGGCGAGGGAAGTATCTCGTGACGGGGAAGAGCGAATACTAACCCGCGTAGAGGTCAGGCGCGCTGGAGAGTTCGGGCTTCCATCTGCTCCGCTACGAGTAATCCTGCCTGAGTTTCTGATAGAGAAGAGTCTTGGTGGGCAGGCGAGGGTAGAAGCGGCGGCTGAAGCGGCTTTGAGGACGCGAGGATGGGAATATGAGCGCTATATCTGTGAATTGGTATATGGTTTGTACTTAGACCCCAAATTCTCGCCTTCTAGTCAGTGGCTCAGAAAAATAGCCAATATAGTTGATGTATACATCATTTCTCATGACCAGAATGAGGAGATTGAAGACTGAGATGAGTTTCGAGCAGCAGTGCTCTATTAGGAGGGGTCTCCACCTTCTCACTAAGTGCATTTGTCCTTGGCTTGGTAATGGTCGTCCTCATGTTTGACGTAGTAGTGCTTGCTACTATCTGCCTACAGTCAGCCGTAAGGGACCCTGCCTGTATAAAGTGTACACTGCGTACAAGTATTGCAAGGGTGAGTGTATGTGTAAGTTTGTCATGATAGGCTATGTTTTGGATGCGTGGTTCTTCTCGGATCTCGGTCTTAATCAAAGGTTGTTTGTTCAACAGGAGACAGGATCGAAGGAATCCGATATGGAAGGCCTGCGGAAGGAGGATGCGGTTAAGGAGCCTGCTCATTTGCCCAATATGCGGGATTGGGAGCGAGCGAATGCACCCAAAGTGGAGATTCGCCTCTTCAATGGTTGTCATGTCTCTGGCTTCCTTGATAAAGTCAAACAGTTGGCATCTCAACGTGAATGGAATGAGGAGTAGATGTTAGAGGAGGTCATAAAGTTTATCCATGGCCTCTTCAATGGTTTCCATGTCTCTAGCTTCCTTGATAAAGTCAAACAGTTGGCATCTCAACATGAATGGAATGAGGAGCAGATGTTAGAGGAGGTCATAAAGTTTATCCATGTGGACCTGAAGGAGGAAGTCAGTGAATTGATCGGAAAGGCAGGGTCATCGTGGAGGAGGTTCCATAATGACATGAGGAATAAGTACCGACTGGGTGAGGAACAGTTAACCAGGGATGATCTTGAGAAAATGGAACGATATGATTATGCGTCAGCAGGACAATTTCTGGCAGAATATGAGCGTGTTTCATATAAGGTTTGTGCGTTGCCGGAGCATGACAAGTGTTTTTTCTTCCTCATGCATTTTTCAGGTGCAGAGCAGCGAGACCTGATTCGGGGGACGGGAGGAAGGCTTATATGGGATAAGATACAAGGAAACTTTATAAAAGGAGATTTTAATCAGTACCTCTGCTATATTCTGCGCGAGGCGAAACAAGAAAGAAATTGAGGGATTGCGAGAAGAGAGATGAAGGCAAGAGGGTAGTTGAGGAAGAAGAGGAGTATGAATCTCCCTGGTCATCAGAGGCTCGGTCAGCAGGGCCATCTTCTTCCCCTGCGCGACAAGAGTCACAAGGAAGTTGGTGGGAAAAGGAAGTTGGATTGGGCACAGAAAGAAGAGAATGCGAGATTGGTGGTCGAAGGTAGTATGTGATTTTTGTGGGGAGGTCGGCCATACACCTCGTAGATGTAAGAAAGTGAGACAAGCCCGAAAGGAAGAAAATAAGAGGGGCGATAGGCAAAGGAGCACGACCGGCCCGATATAGTCTAAGCTCAACTGAAGGTAGAGGCATTGAGTCCAGGTGACTTGGACAATGGGAGTTGATTGTGGGAGAGGGAAAACAGATTAGAGGGGCACCCTCATAATAATGGTCCGGTAAAGTAACTTAGGCTGTAGATAACTTAGCCATATAGGTGAAACCAGGGGACAGTGAGTGAGAAGGGATTGGTTCGCCTATATGTGAGTAGGATCAAGGTTTTTGTATATAGAGACTGAGCTAGATATGTGCATATTTAGGTGCAGTCACAACTAGTTGGTCCATCTGAACATATGCAGGTTGTAGTACTTAACGAATCATTTGTTTCCTCTTGCGGGTGATCTAGGTGGTTGTGTCCAAATGTGTGATATGTTGGCGTGTACAACTGGGCTAGATTTGTGTGATTTGAGTTTTTGTGTGTATTTAGGTATACCCCGAGGTACTTGTGTGTTCGAGACATGGGCTACTCAGCAAAGTGGGATGTGGGGGATGGGTACCTATGCTGTTGTTGAGAGGGACATTTTATCCTGGTGCACATATTAAGTTGACACCCTATGATGCTTAGTTTTTGTGACGATGACTATCACTCTCACGCGTGTGACTTTATCCGGATGAATGTTGGTTTTGTGTGCAAGATGTGTGAATACGTAACATGTGAAGCTGTCTACTTCTCGGTATACTCGTGCGACCTGCTCACGGGCAACTGATGGGGCAAAGTATATGGGGGGGAAGTGCAGTCCGTTTGTGAAAGGTTGTGAGGGATCATAGAAGATTTACAAGTCTTTGAGACTCGGGTGCTTCACCATGCCGATTGTTGATTGCTTAAGTTGTGATGAAGACCCATAAGATGGCCTCTCATTGATGTTTATTCCTTAATGAGACCCCCTCATATTTTTGGAAAAAGGGGGATGTCTCGTTTTACGATGAGACCCCTCGTGATTTTTGGAAGAGGAGGTGTTCTGTTCTGTGAAGAGACCCCTCGTGATTTTTGAAAGAGGGAGTGTTTTGTCTTATGATGAGATCCCCTTGGATTTTTGGAAAAGTGGATGATTTTGGATTGTTGGAAGACTCACCTTCAAAGGCGAGTAAACTGATTTATGGCATGGTAAGTTCTCTGATAGGTGATAAAGTCTGACGAAGAGGGCCACTTTTGCTTGAAATGTTTGAGAAGGTCGCAATGAGTGCATGGCGAGAGATGTCTCAGGACGGGTGGCTGTTGGCTCTGATCAAGTCAGGGGTCACGACTTTGTGGACCTAGCGGTGATTTTGTTTGTGAGCGTGTGAAGGATGCCATGCCGTTTTGTGGGAGGGCTTGTAAATGCCTTCAGACCCCTACGTAATCGTGCAGTGGGCTTGTGATTTTGTTTTGCGACGCTCCGTCTAACCACTTGTGTTAGTTCTGTGACATACTGAGAAAGACCAAACTAACGGTAAAAGTTTAGCTCCACGAGGGCGTAACCCCAGTGGATGGCTGCTAGCTGACGCAACCTGGCTGCGGGACCGCGGGGTAAGAGTTTAAGGGGAGTTGCCCGCCCCAGGAAAATTCCTCTGTGGGGTAACGAAGGTTGAGATTTTTGGGGGGAATCCAGATTGAATGCTTATCAGGAGAAAATCTATTGTTGTGTAACCAACGAGGGTACAACCGTAAAATAACAATGCGGTGGGCCGTAGTCCTGGTTCGATCAGCCACGCTATGGTGGGCCAAGATGGAGACCTAGCCTTTCTGTACTAGACTGCAGATAGAGCTGAGTGGGTATTAAGTATACATATATGCTTATGTGTATTTGATTGCGAGAGATTTGTTGAGAAGGAAGGCGAGAGTGCCTTCAAAGGTCTCGATTAAGGCCCGCGTCCCTAATTTTTGCCAGAACTAGGGACACCCAATGAGAAGCCGAAGGTTGTCTAGGACCGGGGAGAGGACGATTGGGTAGGTCCTTGGAACTTATGTTGTCAGCGTCCTAATTTCTGGGCGGTGAGAGGCCTGGGTTAGAAACCTGGCATCATATAGTCGTGAAGCCATGATTTGATGGAGGCCTTTACACTGTGTTTGTCGGCTAATCGGATTGGCTCCTTTCTCGTCAGCATTTGGAGTGTGAATAGATTTATAGCTTTCTAATTTGGCGAAGCGACGGGGACATCGCTTAATATGGTCCGGTAAGCTGTCGGCGCGAATACCCTTACAAGGGTATCCACCCTGGTTTTTGCAAGTGACAGAAATAGTTGGTTCAAAGTTTAAGTACACCGCGCTAGGCGCGGCTGTATCTGTGATTAAGTTGACTAGATGGCTAACTAGAGTAAAGAGTGTGTGAGCGCACAGGTTTGAGGCGTGCGTGATTCTGTTCCATCTTTGATTATGAAACCGGCGTGGACGCCGATCGGTTTATTTTTAATTTTTCCTTTACTTTTATTTTTGTTTATTCTTGATTAGACTGGGATTAAGGATATTTTTTCTTTGGGCGGTATGTTTGATTGAGTTACGCATGCGTACGGAGAACGACCCCGACGACGGCATCGGCAACGGCGGCGCGAATTCGTGCGGTGATCGGGGGTGTCGTAGGATGGTACGCGGGGCAATTATGGCACAATATAAGCAAGTCGGCGCGGGCACTGGGAGCCGCGCTGCCGAGTTGTTGGCCCAAAGCGCCTCGCCGCACTGCCTTGAATGGTTCTCTGCGGGCGCTGGTCTCAGGCTTGGGCGTAGCCCTATAGGTTATGACA